GAGGTGGGTCTTAAACAGGAAGAAGTGTGGCCTTGGCAGGCAGGTGTGGGGCACATTTAGATTGTGGGTATGGGGAGGTGCGTAGGTTTAGTCATGCGTAGGGCAGCTCAATTTTTATCTATTAAAGTGACAGGTTATTTTTTCTCCAGTTCCTAGCGATACACAATTTAACAGCCATTAAAATATCAATAGTTAAATATAGTGATGGTCTAGACATTTTTTGCATTTCTAGATAGAATAAGAATCTTTCAGGGGTCAAAGTGATATTTAATTTTAGATCAGTAAAAAGTTTAGAGAGACTCCCAGTTTAAGGATATCCAAGCCAGCGCAATCCCACAAAATAAGTTTAAGTGAATCAGGTTCTCTATTGCATAATTTGATGGGAACCATATACAATCTATGAATCAGCTTAAGCAAAGTTTCTTGTATGTTTATGCAATGAATTGATTTCCTTAATAGTTCAAATTAATTTAACCAGGCATGACAGGGAAAGGACTTTTCCAGATCGTTTTTCCACTTAGTAAAAGTATTCTATTTAGAGGATCACTATAGGGTCAGGAACACAAACATGTATTACTGACCCTATAGAGAAAACCCACCATTTAGGTGGCTTGCCACCCCCCACCCCCTCCCCCCCTTAGCTCCCTCAGAATGGGTTAAAACTCACCTTATTTCCAGCCCTCCACGGATCTGCCAGCAATGGCCATGCCCACTTGGTGACATCATCAAAATTGCAGATTTTTAGCCAATCCAATGCTTTCCCGTGGGGAAAGCATTGCATTGGCTAAAATCAGCAAGGGGGCAGGGACAAACTCTGTTTTGTCCAATCAGCGCCTCCTCATAGAGATGCATTAAATCAATGCATCTCTATGATGAAAATTCAGCGTCTCCATGTAGAGTGTGGGGATGCTGAACGTCAGGGCTGCTTACTGTGCAGCCCTGAGTCAGGAAGCCCTCCAGCGGCCATCTGAGGAGTGGCCACTTGGAGGTGTCCCTAGGGGCAATGTAGACACTTTACATATAAATGCCTGAAGGGAGCTATTATACTCACCAGAATAACTACATTATTGACTATATTGTACCTTTAACTTCTTGATTAAGTGTACCAATGACCCTTCTAGTTTTTGAAGGTTTATTAATATCCTTTCCATAGAGAATCTTATCAAGGGGTGATTCCTTAATTATAAGTGTTTTATGTAAGAAATCTATTATTCTTAAATAGGTAAAATATTCTTTATTAGAAAAATCTGATCCTTGATATAAATGCTAAAATTTACTAATCCCAGAAGTACAGTATAAATCTTGAATTTTTAACAACTCCACCTCTTACCAGCCAGACAAATTAAGATCCTGGATTAAAAGATTCAAGACTTCTAAAGGAGTATTTATAGAGATTTGATTTTGGGAGAAGAACAATTTCTTTATTGGCTCTACGGATTGGAAAACATGGGAAATGAGTAAATTACCAATAATCAAATTTTTCAATAATTTCTTGTCAGCCCAAAAAAGACTGGGTCAAAGGGTCAAAAGTGCCACATAATTTTTTTTCATATATATACCATAATTTCATTGCTGAATTTCTGTTTCCCCATTCCAAAAAATGGGAAAACATCACAGTATCATGAATATAAAATATATTCGGGAAAGATAATCCTCCATCTGCTAATCTGGCCAAAATAACTTTAAACGCAATCCGTGGTTTCTTAGCACCCCAATCATATAATATAAATAAGCAATGGAATAAATGGAGTGTCTTCTTTGGAACTCTAAGGGGAATTGTGTGAAAAAGATTCCAATTTTTCCCAACCATGATATCTGTAATTTGGACCATTTAGAGATAGTATTTCAAAATTCTTTTGAGAAGTGCGTTATAGTTATCAATGATCCATACATCAATATTAAAATTAATAATTATTTCCAGATAACAAATGGAATTAGTAGACTAGTTACACTTATGAACATTGGTCAAAGTTTCTGCCTGAGAACATGACAGATTACAATGTATAACTTGCATTTTTTGCTTATTGATTTTATAATTAAAAAATCAGATTAATTCTTATATACATTGTAGTACGGCTGATATAGAGACCCCTATGTTAGTGTCACAATTATATCATCCGCAAACATGGTTATTTTTTGTTCTTGGTCACCTAAAGACACACCAGTTATATTATGAGTTTGTCTAATATATATAGCTCGTGGCTCTATAGAAAGAGTATAACATAGTGGTGCTAATGAGCATCCCTGACGGGTTTCCATTTTTGATAGTAAACCAATCAGAATCTAAGCCATTTCCATATATTTTTGCCAGAGAAGAAGATTATAGGGACATTGCCAAGTCTTTAAATACTCCCTCAATCCCAAAAGCAGAAAGGGTAGCTGATAAGAAATTCAAATTTACCCTGTCAAATGCCTTTTCGGCATCCACAGCTATAAAAACTGTAGGAAGAGTTTTGGGTTTTTTTTTCAATCAACTTCTGTTATTAAATTTAGGATCTTACGTACATTGTCGCTAGCTGATCTTGATATTATAAATCCTGATTGGTCTAAATGGATTAGATCCGAAATTACCAGACTAAGTATGTCTGCTAAAATTTTAGAGTATATTTTTATATCTAGATTTATAAGTGAAATTGGACAGTAGTAGTTTATAAAATTTAAATCCTTTCTGGGTTTTGGGAGTGGGGAGATCGTGACACTTAAAATTTCAGAGGAAAAGCATTTACAATTTAATTTATCTGAAAAAGTTTTAGGAGTAAAGGAGTTATCACTGACTCAAATGATTTATAAAAGTAGGCTGTATATCCATCTGGACCATGTGCCTTCCCATAGCCAAGCTTAATAATTACTCTTTTAATTTCTTCACATTTAATACGTTTATTTAAATTTTTTAGTTTTTCAGGTTTTATTTTAGGGAGATTGAGTTTTGAAGGAAAAGCATTTTCCTTAAGATTATATAAAGAGGTGTAATATTTTGCAAGGGCGTCACCTATGTTGCAAGGGGAAAGACAGATTCTATCACCATTGATAATCTTTTTTATTGCATGTTTTATTCGTTCTGGTTTAAGTTTTATAGACAGAGACTTCCTTACTCTAGTGTTGCTACTATACCATCTTAGGTTCAGGGATGTAATTGATTTTTTAAATTTTATCTTCTAAAAGTGTTTTAATTTAAAGTTGAACTGTTTTAATTTGTATTGAGGTAAGCCTTGTGGGATTTTTTGTATTACTGTATTCCAGTTTAGCCAACTGTAAGTAAAGATCCACTAAGTTGGCTCCTCTGATTTTTCAGATTTTTGCCCCCATTTGGATTAAGTTCCCTGTCATGACAAATTTAAAAGTTGACCAGAGAGTCTCACTAGAGATCTGTCCATTGGCCTTTTTATTGGCAAATTATTTTGCCAAATCTTCAAGATGTTCTCATTTTCTTTCTGATGCTAAAATTGATTTATCTAAACGCCAGTGGGGTCTATGTTTGTAGTCTGGATTATTTTCCAACACTACATTAGTGGGGCATGATCTGACTATACAATAGGGCCAATTTCAGAGCTTGTAAAGTTTTTCAGGTTTATCATATCAGTTAAGAAATAATCGATTCTAGAGTAACTTTGATGAACTTTAGATAGAAAGGTAAAGTCTCTTTCTTTCGGGTGTTGCACCCTCCAAATATCAAATAGCTCATATTCAGAAAGGATATCCTGAAACCAGGTGCAACAAATTCTATAAAATTTAGTGGTTTGTTTAGAACCCGTAGACTTTCTATCCATTTTTACATCAAAAATAGTATTCCAGTCTCCTCCAATAAGTAACACCCCCTTTTTAACTATTTACATTTTCCTAAAAATCTTCCTATAACAGTGTGAAAATACGTTAGAGGCATATATGTTAGCTAAAGTATATTATTATTATAATTATCGTCATTTATATAGCGCCAACTGATTCCATAGCGCTTTACAGTATTATGATAGGGGGGACTTAACTATAAATAGGACAATTAGAAGAAAACTTACAAGAACGATAGGTTGAAGAGGACCCTGCTCAAACGAGCTTACATATCTATATGTCTATAAAAGGTGGGGTACAAAACACATTAGGACAGGAAATATCAATCAAATAAGGTGGGAGTGAAGCAGAGCTGGAGGTGGGAGTAGAGAGCAAGAGACATGCATGTAAGGTAGAGGTTACTCTGGGAGGCCATAAGATTTCCTAAAGAGGCACTTTTTAAACGATTGAAGACTAGGGGAGATTCTGATTATGGAAGGCAGGCTATTCCATAGGAAGGGAGTCGCCTGCGAGAAGTCCTGCAAACGTGAGTTGGCCGTACGGGTGCGAGCAACGGACAGGAGAAGGTCACGGGCAGAGCGGAGAGGCTGAGAAGGGGCATACGTATGGATCTGTGAAGTGATATAAGAGGGGGTAGAATTGTTCAGTGATTTATAGGTATGGCTTAGCACTTTGAATTGACTCCTATAGGATACAGGAAGCCAGTGTAAGGACCGACAGAGAGGTGAGGTGTGATATTGTTGTAGATACCCTGGGACCTCTTCTGGCCAGCGTAGGGAGATCCAGTCATTTAGTGCCGTGCAAGCAGAGTGAAGGGGAATCCCAATTTGTATGATTTGCCTCGTTCCTGGAGGAGTGACGTGACAGGTCGCAGGGCCCTCCGGGCTTCTAGTGTGAGTGGTGACAGGTCCTGAATTAAGGCCACCTCCGCTCCACGGAATCTCCATAGTGGTCTCGAGCGTGCTTTAGCCATGATTCGTTCTTTGTGTTTGTAGTTGTGTAGGCAACATATTATGTTGTGTGGTGTGCTGTCTGCTATGCGCAGTTTGTTCGCTCTGTGTGCCGTGTCAAATTCCATGGACTCCAGTGCAACCACCCAGAGAATTTCTCAGAAGAGGGCATGGCCTCCACATCCTCCTCCGCAGTTGGTTCAGGTATTCTGCGTACGCGAATGTTGGATCTGCGGCCTCTATTATCCAGATCTTCCGTCTGGCGTCCTAGGGCGAGCAGCATGTTTCCCTGTTGGAGACAGCAAGGTTCGATGTCTCTGCTCGCTCTGTTATGGCGTGCATGGCAGTCTCCAATTCCTGGAGTCTGCCGCCATGTGCTGCAATTTTGGTCCGTAGCATGGCAACTTCTGAGCGGATTGCCCCATGTATGTCGTCGGAGAGGGCATGGAGGTCTTCCTTAGTGACTATTTGGCTCGGGGGCACTCGTATGTCTGCACTGATGTCCAATAGTGTGAGTCCACCAGGCTTCGAGTTATGGGAGCAGGTCGGGGAGTCGGCCATATTTTGGTCTGTGACTTCGCGGGACATGCCCGCTGATGAGTGCAGGAACCAGTCCACGGGTCCTGCCTGGGACCTGCTGGGATTGCTCCATGGGGTCTGAGAGCCATCAGGGATTTTTGTGGGTCCCATTTTTGGTCCACGCTATAGGTTTAGTGTGCTTATAAAAGCTGTGTGAGACGGAGCTCTCCAGTTAAGCTGCCATTTTCCTCGGAGTCTAGGCCAGGCTATCATTATTTAATACTTCAAAGATAATATTAATATTTTGTAAATTTGTTCTAATAAATTTCTAATGTTATATGATAAGCTTCCCCTTTTTTTTTTACTTCCTTTTTTCTTCCTCTTTCTCTCTCCTCGCTCCCTCCTTTTTGTTGCATCAATCTATTATCCCAAGATTCTTTTATTTGGAAGTTTCTTCTAAAGGATATTTAATAGTGACATTCTTCCCATTGTGAAAAATTATCAATTTAGTGGGAAAACCCCATCTATCGATAATATTTTTAGATCTTAGTTGTAGGGTTAGATCTTTAAAGCATCTTCTATTTAGTCTAGTTGCCAAAGAGAGATCTGGGAAAACCATCAAATTCTGAAATTTCTTATTGCTTATTGGATTAAGTCTCATCTGTTTCATTAACACATGTTTTACTGAGGAATTCAAAAGCCTTACTAGAACATCTCTAGGAGTTATATTCTCTGTTTCTCTGGATCTGAAGATTCTGTGGCATCTCTCTAATGGAAAAGGGGTTAAAAGTGGAGGATTGACATATTGAGTGATAAAATCCATAATATAATCGCTTACATTTTCTTGTTTCATTTCTTCTGGCCTAGTTTTAAGTCTTATATTATTTCTACGTGATCTATCCTCAAATTCTGCTAGTTTATTATCCATTTTTTTTAAAAATTCTTTATTTTTGACTCAGGTCATGGTTTCAGTGTAACCGTTGAGTTTTACAGAAGAAAGGTAACAGTGGGGATGATACAGCATATACATATCGTTAAACTTGAACAATGTTGTGTGACATTCATTTAGGGTTAAATAACCAAGGGCCATGAGCTGAGGGAATTTTATTTGGGGTGTCGGTGTTACCATGTAAGCCTGGGGGTCTAGTGGCGTGGTCATAAAGCTGTATGGCCGGCGTTGCTAGTGGCTGTTAGGCTGTTGGCTAGATGACTTAATGTTTTAGGTATGGTACCGTTTTCCTGCTAGGGCCGCTAGGGAGCTATTTCTGGTGCGTGGGTTTGTGAGCTACATGCTCCCACTAGAAAGGTGTACCCTGGGGCGAGGGGGGGAGGTGAACTTGTAGTTAGGCTCATTGGGTAAGGAAAGGAAGTGTCTCAGTCACTGAGAAGGGTGTGTCCGTGTAGCCCTGGGGCTTTTAGGAGGGGAGTACTAGGTGGTTTTGAGTCCCGGGGCATCTCAGGAGCTAATCATCGTTGGTGCGCCTGCTCCTGCCCATTGGGGGGTGAGCGGTGTTGCTGTCGGAGGGTCTCTTTTTGCTGACCTTGTTGCCGGGTGTGTCGGTCCAGCGATGGTTAGGGTGTTCTGTGGCAGTCCCAGGGTTGGCAGGAGATCCCTGGCACCTTGTAGGTCATAGACCTTGTATGAAGTGTCGCCGTGTTGAATCAGGAGCACCCAGGGTCGCCTCCACTGGTAGGTGATTTTATGCAGGCGGAGGAGGGCCGTGAAGGGTCTCAAGGTGCGGCGCCAGGCCAGTGTCGGCCCTGAGAGGTCCCCGTAAAATGCGAGCTGTCTGCCTTCAAACACGTATGGTGACTGTGTCCTGGTTGCTTGGAGGACCACTGCTCTGTCCCCGTGGTTCAGGAAGCGCACTAGGAGGTCTCTCGGTGCCGTAGCTGGGGCTTTAGATGGATGTAGGACGCGGAACATCCCCCCAGAGTTGCCTGTTTGGCCTGTTTGGCGGGTAGCAGAGTGGCCAGCAGGCGCCGTATGAAGTGCGGTACCTCCGCTTCCGGGATCTCCTCTCCGAAGCCCCTGGTTTTCATGTTCAGGCTTCTCCTCTGATCCTCGAGGTCAGCAAATCGTTGGTCTGTTATGTGGGACAGTTGTTGCAGGTCATTTAGCCACGCTGTTTCCTGTGTGTTACGGCGGGAGTCTGCTTCCAACGTGGTCAGGCGGCCTGTCAGGCCTCGCAGGTCTCCGTGTATCTGGGCCATGTCCGCCTGTATGGTGAGTTGCAGTCCCGCCAGCTATTATTTCGACATTCTGTTTACAGCTGTATCCCATTTTCCCATACTTTATACATCTATTTGTTAGGTACCCACTGGGAGTGTTACATTGAGAAGCTGTTGATTGACCCAGTTAAGTTATTTATATTTTTTCCTTGTTTTGTAACTGTATAGAATGGCAGGTTTTTACATGCAATTGCGCACTATTGTACTTGTGGACATGTGGCTAGATTATAATCACACTTTGTATCCACTAGACATACTTTGTATCCATTGTATTTAGTAACTTGTAGCACCCCTGCTCCCTAGGAGAAACTAGTCTGTACTTATTGACTCCATTATACTGCTTTAGAACAAAGTATCGAGTTACTGGGAACAGCTTGCATAAATCGGTTGTCTATTTACTCTCTGTGATGAAGTGCCCTTCACCACTTGTGCCTGGAGAGGACTAATTGCCAGCCTCTTGCCTTGTGACTATAGCCCCTGGAAGAGTTTGCCTTTTAAAAACGTCATTTGGGTATATTGGATTTTATTGTACTTTTTCTGCCCCTTTAAATCCATGGGAAATGTGCCTCTTCCCCTCTCCCTTTTTCCTGTCCTATTGTTCTCCAGCAGGGCATTGTCCCTCTTCGGTCTCTCATCAGCTATTGTTTAACCACATGGCATTCCAACTGTATTCGTGAGATCTGAGCGCTTTTCGGACATATTGAGCGCTCGGATCCAAGCTATCTGGGGATATGTTGGACATATAGGTTAAACATTGTATTATATGAGTTATGTACTTTTATGTGGTTTTTGTAACAGTTTTGACTTGGAGATATTCCCTGTACCTGGAGATAATTAAGTTACCACACCCACCCACACCGACTTAAGCCAATTATCTCCAGGATAGAGGAGAAGATAGACCGGCTGCACAGCCTAAATCTGTGGAACAGTTTGTGGAGCAGTCGGTCAAATGTGACTTCCATGGAATTCATGAACCCCTGCTCTGATCTGGGTGATTTTTGGATATGTTGTTCACCCAGATCAGGGCGATCCAGGGATGTATATGGGGATATGTTGTTGTTTTGGTGTTTCTGTGTTTTGGGTAAAACTGTATATTTTCTGCCTGTGGTAATTCCCACACGGTCCTGGAGGACAGTGGCTGATCCAGGGTGGAAGGAAGACAACAAGACTCCAGTTAAGCCACAGTGGTTGTGGAGTCTGCGGTGGTTGTGGTGTCCGGTGCGGTGCTTGTGGGCCTTGGTGCAAGCTAGGAAGCGTCCGTCAACGGAAGGTACTCGGTCCGAGTAGAGGTTATCCGTTACACTCTACCATACAGATATATCCTCCCACTTGTTTGAAGTATATATATACTAGAGTTATTCTTAAATGTCCCAGTTGGGATATTTTAATTAATCTTTTATCTATATCTAATAAAAGTAAAATTTTAGGAATTACTTGTCTTTTTATGTTTCACCATATTCCATTTATCTATTTACTATGATAAATCTCACATATATGTCTGTGAAGGAGGTATTTGTCAAGAAAGAGACAGACAGACAAATTACCACCTCACAGGATATATGATTGTGCTATAGGTCTACTCCCAAGCACTATAACTCCTAGAGGTAGAGTGTACCTTTATTACCGAAAAAATTTCAAAATGGAGGAATATATTAACAAAATCCCTCAAAAAGGGTTTCATTGGTTGAATATCATCCCCTGCTGGGATGTGCTTCTTTTTGTATCCAAAAAAGGACCTAAGACCATTCATTGACTATAGGGATTTGAACAAGATCACCATACAAACATGTACTGCTGTATTCATTACACTAGAGGAGCATATAATCTTGTCCATATCAAAAAAGGTCATGAATGGAAGACAGCTTTTGGGCATTACCAATATACCATAATACCATTTGGGCTATATAATGCCCCAAATGTCTTTCAGGATTTCATGAATAGTCCTAAGGGATTATATTCATACCTGTGCCATTGTATATCTAGGTAATATATTGTTATATATCTCCCTGTATTGAGGTTTACCACAAGTAAGTGAAAAGCATACTCCAAACACCCCTAGCCAATAGACTTTATTGCAAGTTGGAGAAATGTCTATTCAAATCAGTCTGGAATACCGTTTTTAGGATACCTTATTTCTGCCTCTGGTTTCAAGATTAAACTCAAAAATCTGTCTGCAGTTAAAGATCTGCCACTACCACTTGGTTTATGTTCCATTTAAATATTTATTGGCTTTCCCAATTTTACCACGTGACAGGATGCTTCATATTTTGTATAACTTTCTTTACTCAAAACTCCAGCAGCCTATATCAATCATAGAATCAACCAATGAAAACAAAGTAACATTCTCTATATACAGCCCTGACAGTCTAAACTCCTTCTCTTTCTTTGCTGCTCCTGCTGTGCACAGGTTAAAGTATTTGCTCCTGCTTTCTGTATGATTCAGGTGTACTTCTATTTAAACTTAAATCTCTTTCATGGTATTTCCTAAAGATTCCCTGCCTAGCCTTTTTGTCCTGTTAGGTTTCTGTACCTTTAGTTTGCTATTAGGCCTCAGGATATTAATCCCCATAGTTTCCCCTTGTGACAAAGTGCACTTCGCCACTTGGTCTTGGAGAGGCCTGCTTGCCTCTTGCCTTGTGACTATGGCTCCTGGGATATTGTGCCCTTAAAAACACTATTTGGGCTTATTGGCTTTTAAAAGACTGTTTCTGCCCCTTTGATTCCATGGGAGAATGTGCCTCTTCCCCATCCCCTTTAATTCCTATCCCATTGTTCTCCAGCAGGGCGTTGTCCCATGGACACTGCCAGACCAGTTTAAACTGGCTGCTCTGTCCCTCCTCAATCTCTCACCAGCCCTTGCAAAACTTTAACCCCATGGCAAATTTACTCTGTTCCTGAGTTCTGAGTGCTGTTCACCTATATTGGGCGTTCAGTTCCGA